GCTTTTCAAATTTATTTCAAAGATGAACTCCTTTTGTGTTTTCACCATATGCTTTCACAACTTTTGTAGAATGCACCACCATTATGGCATGCCAAGGTCTAAGATGATATATGCAATGAGAATAGAGTATTTTGGAGAAAGAAAAAAGCCTCTAGAATTCTTTCCTTGCTGTTATCTTCTTCTGTTTTGCAAATCATGTTAAAAAAAAAAAAATAGACAAGCAAACTTTTCTTTACAAAAGCACGCCACTTAGCAGTAAGACATGCCAAGCAAAGTCACTTGGATGGGGTCCGGGGCCATCAACAAGCAGCATGCCTAAGCAAAATAATATGGGGCATGCATTCTTGAGCTGCTGGAACAGCGAAACCATTGTTCCCTCTTGATAAGCAACCTGAATATGCAAGACATCTGGGAATTTTATAAAACCTTGGCAAAAACCATGCACATACTAGTCTGGCATTTTTTTTTTAGGCATGCCAAGAAGGTGTTTTTCAGGCCCAGTGGTCAGACAAAATTTTGGCAACATATACCTTGTTTTTAAGGATATCCAACTTGTCAGAGAATCTCCAGTAGTTCATAAAAACAAATTTTGCCAACCAAGCAATATATATATATATATATATAAGACATGCAGATTACAACATGCCTCAAGCATTCAGAAATTAATACAAGCTCCAGTGATTCAACAGTGTCCAAAAGAGAAATAAAAAGAAGGGGGAGCTGCTAGAAGCTGTGGAGAGGTGCTGGCAGCTGTGTCAGATGTGACTAGGAAATGAGGAGTAGAAGGCAGCACTGCTGGAAGCTGTGGAGAGGTGCCGGCAGTTGTGTCGGATGTGCTTAGGGAAGGAGGAGTAGGAGGCAGCACTGCTGGAAGGCATAAGGCAGTGTCGGCAGCTACGCTGGACATCCCAAGAGGAGGAGTAGGAAGTGTATCCTCCGCGACTTGTGAGATGCTCTCAACCTAAAAAAAAAAAAAAGGGAAGGCCAGGCAATAAATGGGACCCCAAGCTGTTAACAAGCACCATGCACAAGCAATATCATGTTTCAATCTTGAAAAGAAAAAAAGGTCCTGCTATAAAAGAAAATCATTCCAGCCTTTGCAATATTTGAAGAGAGTGTATGTGTTGGGGTACTGTCAAAGAAAAATCAGATCACATAAGAAAGGCCTTGTGGAGGTAGAAGGAAAAAAAAATGCAGAGGCAATGGGGCTAACACTTTTGTGGTCCTGTAAAAAAATTGGCAGCATGTACCTTGCACCTACCACAACCCAACCTGTTAAAATCTCAAGTAACTCATGCATTTCAACCAAGCAAAGTGTACAGAACAAGCTGGAAATCATTATCTCAATGCATTCCA